AAAAAGTACAGTCTGTGTTTGGGTAAAGATCATATTCCAAAGAATAACTTGCCTTATCATCCTTACCTGCTGTTGTGTGCCACCAGTACCGAATGGAAATTCCAAATACAGAATAGAAATGTGTTGAGCATGTATTTTTTGCAGTCATTTATTTGAGCAATCGTGAATTTTTACGGTTGTTAGTGTTTTTATTTATACCCTTTCAAAAGGATTTTTCTCTTTTTCCTGTTATATTTTCTTTTTGCATTTCATAACATCTAATTTTTGTTTTGGTCTTTTTTACACATCTTCACATTGCAATGTCATTTAGCTCCTATTTTCTTGACTGCGAATTTCTTATGTGGCAACTGAGTTTTCTTCAAGAAGTCGCAGTTCTTATTCCTATTTATAAAAACAAAAAATCCATTTTTTTCTATAATCTTCAGAGGAGAAATGTTAATTCCTTTGAAGCACTACAACTATGTACAGAGAAATATCAATTGGTTCTGTTCTTTACCTAAATTGGATGATACCGGGTTTCACCTTTTCATCATCACAAGTCTTAGACAGTCACCCATTTTCAGTCTTAATGCTCTCTTTTTTTTTTTTTTTTTTTCCCCCCCCCATAGGAAATTCCAGTAGGAAGTTCACACATCTTGGGCAAAATACCTTTTGTACTGCAGAAATAATCTGTTCATTTTTGGAAACATAATTTAAATTCTGCCTGCTTAAGAGCACGCATCTCTCTATAAGATCCTTTTTTTTTTTGATACTTTTTGATCAAGTCATAATCTTGCTCATTGCTAAGGATCAGGGGCACTGCCTTTTTTTGCACCATAAAACATGCACTAACTGGTTTCCCAAAAATGCAAGTAATTCTACAAAGCAGGTAGGGAAAAGATGCATGTTTGAGCCCTAGTCTGATACTTCCTGAGTGGACTTTTGTGCCTCCCAGCACAAGGGACTGTGACAGGGATGATGGTCTGCAGTGACGCTGGGCACCCTGCCGCTCCTGCCTGCGGGAGCTGAAGGGACCCGTGACTGGGAGCGATGGGAGAGCCGGTCGGGAGCTGGTGATGAGCGAGGGACCGTGTGGGTGACCAGCCCTGCGTGGCTGCCGCGTCCCTGCAGAACGCAGCCCCTCGCCTCCGTGCGTCTGGTGGGATATTGAAATTACCCGTCCCAAGAGAGACAGGGAACTGCCAAGCTGACTCGGATGAAGCCCTGTCTCTGAAAGCTGCCTGCGTGATACTTCCTTTGTGATTAATGAAAATTCAGTCGAGATGTTTTCATCCAGTTATTAACAAGTTTCATCCAGTTACTGCTCTTTCAATCTTTTTGAAGTTTCCAAAGAGAAGTAAAAGACTAAGCAGAGAATGGATTTCATACATTTAGAGGTACAAGAAGCGTGAAGGAAGGCTGCTTTTCTGCTACCGAACTCAAAATAAGGTCTGTTATTTCACCCATTTTTTTCACATTCTGGAAAAAAATCAGTGAGCCAAGACAGAGTGTACCAACCTCCTTGTGCTTCCCTGGAAACAGTAGCTGCACAATTGCTGCCTTGAATTCTACTGGCATGAGCATGGGGGAGTTTTAGGATAGGGCCTTGAAAAACGCATTTTTGGGAGATAAAATTTTCTCGCATTGATCCATTATTATATCACGTAGACTTTTTTTACTCACTGATCGAGCTTCAGTTGCCAGTAGTGAGTAGCTCTACGTAGTGAATAATTTCTGCAGATCATGGACAAGATGGTACTAAAGACATAAAGATTTTGCCCCAGAAGGTTTTCTTTTAAAAAAAACACGACTTATTTTGCAGGTTTACTCGACTCTTAAGTCAATGGCAGAGCACTAATGACAACTGCATGGAGTAAGCACTAATACAAATGTTTCTGAGCGATTATTTCATTTTTGTCCTTTTTGCCAGACTGCGGTGCTACAGATTAGTGCAAACACTGCATAACATTTTAATTTGTGTTTATTTAAGAAGCATTTAGCAGATTCTAAGGAACTCGGAAGAGAAAGAATGTATCTTGCATACCACCAAAGGAACTTATGTTTTTGGTTTTTTTCTTTTCCCTTGGGTAAATGCTTTGTAAACATTTACCTTCATGCTAAGTCTTTTTTTAAATAGCTTAAAGAGTCAAGTGGATTTAGAGATCAAAAATATTAAGGCTATGTTAGGAAAAAAATATGACACCAAACCCAACCTTTTTATCGCATTTCTGCATTTGTTGATTCCTACTTGTAGACCATCTGTCGTCACAGGAACACTTGATTTTTCAGCATGCCCTTCTGCATCAACAGCTCCTTTAAATTTTGCACAGCTGGGGAAAAAATAAAAAAGGTTCTAAAAGGATCCCTTTGCACTCAGCTATATATTTATACTTCCTATTACCATTTTATTTATATATTTTTATATATATTAATTTAGTAGCTAGGAGATCCCACCCTTCCACAGGGGTATGTGACATTGTATTTAGTTGTATAATTTCAGCCCTTCAGTATTTGTCAATACAGAGGAACGATAATACCCAATTTTATAGATTGATACTATGTTACCACGGAGGGAGGTGGCTTTAATCACCTCCTAATGCAAACCCACCTAGAACTAATGCTAGTTACTGCTGCAAAAAGTCAACTTTTGCTAATAGCGGAAAAGTATTACCCTTTTCAACTACATACAGTGTCATTCACATGCAATTAAGGGTGTATTTCATATTGACTCATGATCTTCTGTTAAAGCATTTTGTGGCTGACCCTGGTGTTTGTACAGTACCCAACCCAGTGGGATCTTGGTTTTCTTATGCACTTTCTCAGTGCAAAGAAAGGGAGAAAATTGGCCGTGGGTCTTAACTGCAGAATAGGAAGGGTTATCTGTGATTTGGAAGCGGGAAAATAAGCTAAGGATGGGGACCCAAAGGCAATCTGAGTGTTAGGCATAAATCCCTATATAACTACTGACCCAAAAGGTGTCTCAAGTGCCCTTGGTTGATTTGAACCTTTTAGCTGTACTTTGCACCCTGTTACCACTGAATGATTTCCCATGGCAGACTTGTCTAATAGTTTCTTCAACCCAAGTAAAATTACAAATATAAGAGCATTGTTATTTTCTTTGGAGAAACTCCACAGACTTAAAAGAAAAAAAAAAAAGGTACTGTGTAACTAACAACTTGGGCACAAGATTGGTGATACCATGACGAAGATGAGATGCTCTATGGTCTAGCTGCTCCAACAGAAGAACTAAATCCCACTCTACAAAACAAAATAAAGGAAAATGTTAATAGCGAAAAAGAATTTGTTACAGTGAATCCTCCAAAATAGCATCTATTTTTTGCATATGAGCAGGCTTAAACTGTTTTAGAGTCACTGTGCTTTTCTTTACTCTCCATTAACAGTTACACGCCAGCTGTTTTACAGAAGTATCAGGGACTTTCAAATGATTTGATGAATAGAAATACGCTTTTTTTTTTTTTTTTTTTTTTTTTTTTTTTTTTTTGTCAACATTCATTATTTTATGTGCTTTTTGTTACCCATTAGACAAATCCATGGAGACAAACACCAAAACTCTGGCAGAAACAATGACTGTAGATGTGTAATTTTGGGTTGACAGTGGCTTTTTAATGCCTACTTTCAATGAAAATATGCATGCAGTTATGTCCTATAAACATCTATTAATATAGATAGTGCACTAAACTACCACAAATAAGTCAAAAGCATCTCTATGTGATGTGCTGATGCTCAGCATTTTTACACCATTGACTGTCAACTAGTTTAAAGCCACATAAAAGAGCAGAACTCCCACGTTTCATGGTGAAGGCAGGAGAAGGGATGTGTGTCAATGGGCTGAGGTGAGAGGGAACAGTTTGAGAGGGGGATAATGACAGGCACGAGGCTGGGAAGCTGAAAAAGGTCATGGATAAATCAAAATACACGAAGGATGCCCCAACACAAAGATGCTCCTCTGAGCATTAATGCCCTGACTAACGGGAAAAGTCCACCAGAACGTGGCTACATCTTCACTGACGCCCCAACCTTAGACTCCCACAGCCCAAACTTGCTTAAAACACCAGATTTCGCTTTCGTCTTAAAAAACAAACGAGACAAAACCGAAACTGCGGGGGGAAGGCGGCTCAAGATGGCGGCCGCGCCCTGCCGCGCACGCGTCTGCTCCGCGGCGGGCGGAGCGGAGCGGGCCGGGCCGGGGCGGA